CTTCAGATTTATTTTGTTATTTAGCTCTGATGAAGCTCTATCCATCAGGCCCACCAATCAGTGTCCCCATCCATCGGACCCCCAATTTTTCTGAAAAGGGGGAATCTGGACAAACAAAAATGGTTGTTGCTAAAAAACTATTAAACGTAGGAGCTTCAGATTTCTTTTGTTATTTAGCTCTGATGAAGCTCTATCCATCAGGCCCACCAATCAGTGCCCCCATCCCCCGAGCCCCCAATTTATCTGAAAAAGGGGGAATCTGGACACACAAAAATGGTTGTTATTAAAAAACTATTAAACGTAGGAGCTTCAGATTTCTTTTGTTGTTTAGCTCTGATGAGGGGCTAACCATCAGGTCCACCCCCCCACCCCAAAAAAAAGAGGAAGATCCCCACTCAAACCACTACAATTTTTGATGCATCTGGTAGTATCAGGGGTCATTATGTTACCTCTATGCAGTATCTAGTTTAGCTAGGAAGAGTGGCTAAAATAAGACATTGTACATCATTCTGCAATTTGAAATAAGTAAATTAGACATAATCCTGCAGACAGTGTTTTCCTTTAGTTAGCAACAAGCTATTTGCCCATTGGCAACTTTTGTTGCCGCTTAATGAAATAAGCCCATTGACAAAAAGTATTTATTCTTGTTACAATCTTTGGAGGGGAGGGTTATTCTAGAGACTTGAAAGATTAAATAATTATAAATATGTCTGGGTAAAAATCATAAGAAATTTTATGAAACTGACCTCTTTCCAGGATGATTTGCATCTTCCATTTCTTCAGCCAGAAGGTGCAGGAAGCACATGATGTTATGCGAGAGGAAGCACTTGGAAATATTGTTTTTCAAAAATCAAAACCTTTGTCTAAGTTGTCTACTAGCGCATAAGTGGAAAATGTTGCATTAATACCTTTGAGATTTTTTTACTTAGTCGAAAATGACAGTGATACACTTTGGCAGCAATTGTTGCCAGTGGGGCAAAATGGGTTAAATCAGTCACAGTCATAAATAACTTGTTTATCGTTTTCAGATTTTGCAAAGAATAAAGACGTTGTTTTATGTATTATTAATGTTAGATGCAAGTCTTATTGAATCAACCCATAATTTAAAAGGCTTGAGTGGATGTTTGGAGACATGCACAAAATAAGTACTTCTGTCTGTGAAACACTTTTTAACACGTTGCTGCCATCTGCTGGTTATTTATCTGAACTGCTGCGTTGGATTCAGGTTTGAAATATTGGAGCTTTTCCTATGAAAGCAAAACATTTGAAATAATCACATAAGCAGATAAAAACATGTTTTCTTCAATTTGTATAAAATATAATATTTAAAGCAGTAAATAAAAAATAAAATAAAGTAAGTAAGAATCAAACATGAAAACTGGAGAACAAGACCTCACA